ACATATAAACAAATATATATGTACATATATATGTAAACATATATATATATATAAAACATTAATAGCCTAGTGAGGGAAGGCATTTGCTCAAGTATACATAGTAATTTACAAACCAAATATTGTATATAACATCAAGTGAACTCTAATGTGAGATAAGGCATCTGCAATTTTTTAAATTAATATTGACTAAAATGGGAAGAGAGATGAGTATCACCTAATTCAACTACCTTATTTCACAAATAAGATAAACAATCATGAAAAACAAAAAATATTAACCAAGTGAGAGGAAAAATGATGATCAAAACTTAGGTTTTACTGCGAATGCAGGGGTTTCTTAGATTTACCACATTACAACCCACAACAATTCAGAAAGTAAAGGCTGGAACTTAGTGCACTGCATCCCTATGCAGACTTAATGAAGAGTGAAAATAATACAAGTAGAAGTTTGCATACCTGTGTGCTATCTAGTCTCCATCTGTGGGATCCCCTAGACAAGGTACTGAATGCTGTAATACTATATGCCTCCTCATGGGATTAATGTGAGAATCAAATGAAAGCCCTATTACAAATGTAAAGTGTAATCATCTTCTACATCCTCATCCCTTCAGATTCTCCAGTGCCATCTCTTAGTAAGGTTTCAATCATTATGTGCAAGGGAGAGAGAAGAGGGAAATAATATAAACTTGTATAGGGGTGCCTAGGTGGCTCAGTTGATTAACTGACTCTTGTTTTTGGCTCAGGTCATGATCTCATGGTTTGTGAGAGGGATTCTCTCTCTCTCTCCCTCTGCTGCTACCCGGCTTGTGTTCTCTCTCTCAAAATAAATAATCTTTATATATATTGTACACACACACACAGATATGTATATATGTATATATACACACATATATGTGTATGCATACATATATACACACACATACATACACACACTGTAATTCTGACTAGTTGGGAGTTTTGCTGTTCTTGTTTTACATGAGGAAGAAAAGTGGGGAGAGGAGGAAAAGAAGGAGGTGAGGAGGTGGGAAGGTTGCTCATAATGGGCAAAGAATAACTTCCTCCTAAAGGAAATTATTCTACATATCTCTTAACAATTAAAGACTCTCAGAATCACAAGGTCTTATATTGTTCATGTTAAAATTACCATTTTTCCCAGTGCAGGCCCTGTAAAACTCATTTTTAGAATATTTCAGAAAATTATGTAATACTTAGGTATGTATCTATCTTTCCTACTCCACTGTACATGTGTCCAAAACAGGAACTCACAGTATTTAGCCTTTAAAAGTTGTTTGTGAATTGTTTTAATTGGATTAACATCCTGTGAAATATAAAGCTAGGTGGCTGAAGCTGTGCCAAAGAGAACTAGATGAAAGGGAAGAGATGAATGAAAAGAGGTTAAGTATTTTGTCTCACTTTGGATTCTCCCCAACTCCTTCTCCACCTCTATTATTGATTTCTCAGATCCTATGCAGAAGTCCTCTACTAACATTCTATATACCCACAAATTTATTTATCGGTATTATTATATTAGTTAACACTAATAAAAATACCATGTTTTCACTCCAGACATGGAAATATTTAAAGAAAAGTACACCAAATGGGTATTTTTTTTTTAAAGCTGGCAAACAAACCTTGTACAAAATGTTCATCATATAAAACATGTACAAGAGGAGTGCCAGGGTGGCTTAGTCCATTAAGCATCCAACTCTTGGTTTTGGCTCAAGTCATGACTTCACAGTTCGTGAGATCAAGCCCTGAATCCTGGCTGCCAGCAAGGAGGCTGCTTGAGATTCTCTCATTCTCTCTCTCTCTCTCTCTCTCCCCCCATCTCTTTCTGCCCTTCCCCCAGTTGTGCACTCATGCATGTGCGCTCTCAAAATAAATAAATGTTTTTAAAATTCAAGAACCACAATTTTTTTTAAAGAAAAAAAGAAGTTGCCTTCTGAGAATTTCCATTCCCATTTAAAATCTTGTTCTGACACAGAGTCCAAGGGGGAAGAAAGGCTCAATTCAACAAACTGAGATCATAACCTGAGCAGAAATCAAGAGTCAGATGCTTAACCGACTGAGCCACCCATACGCCCTGTAATTCATTATTTTAAAATTCCAAAGTCTTTTTAAAGTCTGGCATCAGAGTTCCTTGCTAGCAAAATTATTTCAATATCTGAATTTGGTGACATGGTTTCTTCATTACATAGAATACATAATTCTACATATTGAAGCTGCCTTGTGAACAGAGAACGTATTTCCTTCTTCCATACAAAATTATGAACTTTAGCTGCCATTAGCAAAACCCAGTCATTGGTTTGTCCACAGATATTCAGAGTGGGAAATTTCTCAAAATATTAATTAACCCATTCCAAGAATTATGTCATTTTAATGACAAGATAATGTAAAATAATCATGAAAATATGTCAAGTGCAAGCCTAAATAGCCATAATTTTTAGGAGTGTTTTTTCTTTTTACTTTCCAAAAATTACTGCATGTTTAATTGACTTGCTTGGTGATCTACTTGTATTATTACCTTATGAGAGTTGTTGAAATATCTTTATCACTCTCAAGGTTGCCAAATATTTAGATATTCCGAATTTCAATGATGTTTGTTATTTCTGCTTGTGGTTTTTTTTTTTTTTTTTTT